CAGGATGGTGCAGCGCAATATGTGGCTGCACATGTCCCGGATGCCAGAGCAGATCAAGAAGAGTCTGCTGGAAGGACCTGTCAGCACAGACGGTCTCTTTGGGCTGCACCTCCAGGAGGCCCTCTCTCACTTACAGCTAGTGGCTGGTAAGGCAGCGCAGGGGCGGAGACGACAACAACCCCGCCCCTCATGACCAGACTGGCGTAAGCAACTCCCTCCGCCTGACCCCGCTCCACCCCCTCCCGCCTCTTTTCCCGCGCCGGATGCTGCCAGGCGTGTCCGCTCGGGGCGACGAGCGGCCGATCCATGGCCAAACCCCCGGCCAGGTCCCCCCGCAAACAGCGGCGACAATGACGGGGCGAGGGGAACGTGTGTGATCCATGTGTTGAAAACAACGGCCCTTTTCAGGGCCACCACTTGTGGGATAAAGAGCAGTTTCCAGACAGCTGTCCTTCTCTGTCTCTGGATGTTCATGATCCACACGCACACACTTTTCCCCACTAGTCGTCTCTCCCCCCGCGCACGCCGCGCAGGGTGACATGATGTCCCTCCCCCACTTCGTCACAGCACGACACCGCTGCTCTGTCTACACTCACACACACACTCCATGCGCCCCCAGTGCGCCTATGCCTCCATGGCCATCACTACTGTGAGCCATACACGGCGCGTCAGGAAGAACTTCCAGATGACTGGGAAACTACAGCAGACGTGATCAGGGAGACCGGTAGGAAGGTGCTAGGTGTGTCATCTGGAAGGAGGAAAGAAGATAAGGAAACATGGTGGTGGAACAAAGAAGTACAGGACAGCATTCAGAGGAAGAGGCTAGCTAAAAAGAAGTGGGGCGTAAAAGGACTGAAGACAGTAGACAGGATTACAAGAAATTGCAGCACAGAGTGAAGAGGGAGGTGGCAATGGCCAAACAGAAAGCATATGATGAGTTGTATGCCAGGTTAGACATGAGGGAAGGTGAGAAGGACTTGTACGGATTAGCGAGACAGAGAAACAAGACAGAGAAATAGAGATGGGAAGGATGCGCAACAGATAAGGGTGATTAACCCTTGTGTTCTGTTAAGAATCTTAAAGACAGAGATGGAAAGGTGCTAACAAGTGAGGAGAGTGTGCAGAGAAGATGGAAGGAATGGATGAGAAGTGTTCTAGTGCCAATCTTTAAGAACAAGGGTGATGTGCAGAGTTGTAGCAACTACAGATATAAAGTTGATGAGCCACACAATGAAGCTATGGGAAAGAGAAGTGGAAGCTAGGCTAAGAAAGGAAGTGGATATCTGTGAGCAGCAGTATGGCTTCATGCCCAGAAAGAGCACTACTGATGCAATTTTTGCTCTGAGAAGGTTAATGGAGAAGTATAGAGATGGTCAGAAGGAGCTGCATTGTGTCTTTGTGGTTTTAGAGAAAGCGTATGACAGAGTGCCGAGAGAGGAGCTATGGTACTGTATGAGAATGTCAGGAGTGGCAGAGAAGTACGTCAGAGTAGTTCAGGATATGTATGAGAGGAGTACGACAGTAGTGAGATGTGCTGTAGGTCAGACAGAGGAGTTCAAGGTGGAGGTGGGGCTACATCAAGGATCGGCTTTGAGTCCCTTCTTGTTTGCTATGGTGATGGACAGGTTGACAGATGAGGTCAGACAGGAATCTCCCTGGACAATGATGTTTGCGGATGACATTGTGATCTGTAGTGAGAGCAGAGAGCAGGTGGAGGAACACCTGGAAAAGTGGAGGTCTGCTCTGGAAAGAAGAGGAATGAAAGTCAGTCGTGGTAAAACAGAATACATGTGTATGAACGAGAGGGAGGGAAGTGGAACAGTGAGGTTACAGGGGCCTGAGGTCAAGAAGGTGCAGGAGTTTAAGTATTTGGGGTCAACAGTCCAGTGTGATGGGGAGTGTAGGAAAGAGGTGAAGAGGCAAGTACAGGCAGGTTGGAGTGGGTGGAGACAGGTGTCAGGAGTGTTGTGTGACAGAAGAGTG